TCCTACAGCTTGCTGGCTGTTGGATCAGCCTCCAGAAGATAAACCCCTCTCATTTAAGACTCTTTGGAGGGAATTTCTTTTTCCCCAAGTGAAGATTGCCTCTTACTGAGCAAACTGCATTTGACCAAGATTTGACTGGTGTACAAGTTACTAAATCTCTCCAGCTGTTATTTTATCCAGAACAACCCTCTCAGCACACGAAAGTGGAGCTGTTTTCCCCCAACATCTTCTCTGCTATCCTGAGTGAGGGTTCAGCCCAACTCATAATTTAAAGGTACCGATGCTTTGCCACAAACTATGCAATCCTTTCAAAGCATCATGGCTCCATTACTGGCACCTTACAGAGACCTCGACACAAATTTGCCTTTGCTTACAACAGGCTTGCTCTTCTTGCCAGTGTCAGTCAATCTTTTAATAAAGCCAAAATCGTTTCCCAACAAACATATTAAGCTCCGGGCTGCTCTGAAACCCATCCAGAGGACTTCAAGAACACACTCACAACTTGTAGTAAATACATAGCCTGAGCATCTTATGTTTTGTTCAACAGTTCTTGTGGCAAGCATAGCCATCTAAACCGAAGAGCAAAATCTGGAGGCTGCCCTTTAGGTGAAGGACTTTGTAATAGCACAATGAAGAATGTATTTCTAAAACTCCTGCTTGTTGGAAGAGCACAAATGTGAAACCCACTGCCTTAGGCAAACACCAGTTTGCTCAGTTATCTCTGCTTTTTGATTCTCATCTTATTTTCCAGTTCCCTAACATATTCTCAGAACTTGGGTGGGGGAATGGGGCATCATATATTCCTTTCCAATCAGACTGATAATCTTGATTTATACTCTGTAATAGAGAATCCCACTGAATGGGAATGATATTACAGTGGGGAACAAAGCAGTGAGAGATAAGAATCAGGTTTACTGTTCCTATTTTCTTGTCATAAAAAAGTTAGCATCATAGTCGATGCCCATATTAATAGTGAACACATGTGAAGTCACTTTTCTTCTTACGTCAGCCTGTAATGGCACAGGAATGGAATAATGTTAACAGCTCATAAGCTTTTTATCTACAAATGTGCATCTTGAGACTTTGGAGCTCGCTAATCTGTCATAGCTGGGACTGTACTTGGGATCTCCAAAAGTAACCCAACCATTCTGTACAGTGTGGTCTGTGGGGTGCAAGACCAACAGCCAAGACAGACCCCATTGCTGTGAGATTTGGGCACTCAAGGGATGCTCAGTACACACTGACCAACACACTGCACACAGCAGACTCTGGCGTGGGGCATCACAGTTCACCTTTCACTAATTGTGGTGACTACAACGTCGGCCAGAACGCACAGGTAATTATAGCTTGATCTAGAAATGGGGGATTTGGGGCAAGTCTCCATTAGCAGCACTGCGTCACATATCTGAGCTAACTCCAAAAGAACTGCTATGCCTATATATCTCAGCACCGCTCCAGGGAGAGAGATCAGCTCAGGTCCTCAAAAGCCACTTTAACGTGGCATAATTACCCCCTGCACCAGCCAGGCTGGTCCTGCTCTGAGTATGTGAACTAGCCTGTCTGCAGTTTGGTCTCCTTACATTAGCGATACCCACTGAGCGGAGTAGCCAGCTGGTGAGTTCAGGGGCCAGATCCAGTTCATGAGGCAGAAAATCTGGTCCCTGGGGAGGCTGGCTGATCAACAGGCCAGCCAGACTAGTATTTCTGTGCGCCTGCTTAAGAGCGTGAAAGGGCAGGACACAGGTCAGCAGCACTTATTAAGTTGCCAGTAAATCGGGACATACATCAGACACATACCAGTGGGTTACACAAACACATGTTTACAGAGCTCGACTCGTATGTGATTTCAGCAACTTCAACCAGACCATCCTCATCAGCACAGCACACCAGTGCAGAACTATCTGCAGCATTACGGACTAATTGGGTGCACAGCCAGCCCCCATATGATCCATACATTAAGGGAGAAATTAGCATTTGATGTCTGTTTCAAATTGTAAGCAGCCCTGCTGCAATTAATCACAGCTTGGTTGACAAAGCGTACTGCACTGAAATGACAACATGCATTCTGGGAAACTAACACTGTCATCTTCAGCCGCAACAAGTTTATTTTAAACCTCAGAACAATGAAGGTTTGTCACCGAGCCCCTTGCCTGCTCCATTCTATGAACGCAGCTCTTTAAACAAGTAAGAGGCAGATGGCCCAAACGATCATTTACCAAGGTTTAGATTTCACTATCACCTTCTGGAAGGAGGCTTCCAAGCCGGAGACCTGCGTCCTCAAAGCAAGTATGTTGTCTCAATGACTGAAAGCACCCAGCTCATTCACTTGCACAAAGGGCAGATATATGCTATGTGATGTTCTACCTGTCTGCGCACATGTAACTGCTGAACGCTCACAACGTGATAACTACAAAACTATAGACTGGACTAATTACTACTCATAGGATAGTTTAGGTGGATGAGACCTCAGGAGGTCTCCAGTCCAACCTCCTGCTCAACACAGCTTTGTGATCAAGCCACGTTACTCAAGACTCAATTCAGTTTCTTGTCCACCCCATTGTTTTCAGCAAGACACAATCCTCTGCTGGTAATCATCACCACCATTTGATTTCCATCGCTCACTGGGCGTCGCTGAATCTTAATGCCAACTGAGCATTTTTCTGAGCTGCAGCTTGTATCTGAATTATTATTTTTCACCATTCACCTATTATTTATGCAGAATTCAGCATGTACAACAAAGACAAATGAAATCACTTGACACAAAGTTCTAACCCAAGCAGTTAATCAGCTTATTTCTCAACAAATCAAATGAAACAAGAAAGTTAAATGAGGGAAGAAGAACCACACCACAGCAGTTTATGCAGACACGTGGCCACTGTTCAGCTAATCTACCTACAGCCTTGTAGGCAAGAAAAAAAATCATTTTTTGTGTTCCATGCTGAAGAAGTGAGCTTTGAGGTGGGACTTGTATGTCTAGAAGATAACAACTGGGCAAAGAGTGGAAGGGTTTCCGATGCGCAGGCAGGACTGTGAACCAGAGATGGATATCAAGGTAGGTATCACTGGTAGAATGGAGGAAGATATAACCAGAAACAAAGCCTGAAGTAAATTATGTAGAAAGAACATGACTTCCAAGTGACTTAACTGTGCTCTCAGAATTTAAACTTAATGTAGGCACATTCCTTAGACACTTGGAGCCAGATTACATCTGCTTCCACTGCTCTCTCAACTGAGGGTATCGTCTCCCCACACAGAACAGTATGTAGTCTCATAATCTTGTTCCCTCTCCTTTGGCCAAGTCATGCAGGATGAAGCTGGACAAGGCAATGAAAACCTGTGAGGGACCAGAAAACTATTAATGGTACACAAGTTTGTTTTTGCTTTGAGAAAAGCTTGAACAGGCCTCTGAACTTTAGAAAGATGACTGCACGCTCAGTAGGAACAGAAAAAAACAGGCCAGGACCTACAAGGTGACAAGTGTCTTCCATTAGACCTCATTCTCTCCTCAAACAATGGATGAAAAATGTTGCAAAACCAAAGGAACAAGTGGCAGTTAGAAACACAACTCATGTATTGCCATTTTTAAGCCTAAAACATATCCAAACCAAGATACCATTATAGCCAAAGTCGATGTCAAGAAACAAAGTAAGTGTCCATGATTTTCAGCACAGGCACATTTCCACACTGACTGGTTGAGATCAGAACAAGCTATTTACTTGAAGTGGGACTTCCATACAAATGCTGGAGCGAGCACTTGACTACATTTCAAGCATACAAATGAAACTGAAGTTATGCTACAAATGATTTTCCTTCCAAAATCAACTTGTGGCACCAAAAATGATGCTCTGAAATCTGAGTTAAGACTGAACTGAACATATGAGGCAGTCCTGACACAATATGAAAATAGAGCCATTGCCCTGAAGTAGAAAGAAAGCAACGACTGTTAAAAAAATCCTTTTCTCCTTCTTGCCCAATACTGTCACATGAAAGTCTTCTGTTGTGCTTACAGAGTAACGGCTGTCAAAGCTCTGTCTTTGTTAAATCACATCACATGTTTTGAATAAGGAAGAATGAAATTTACCAGCACAAAACTCTCAACCTCGGGGAAGACCAGACCAAGCAGGACAGAGTCCCTAATTGTTTTGGACAGGAACTTCCATCTGCCTTACATCTTGCAACTGAAGCAGATTTCCAACTGATGTTGAACATTGTGGCAGTTTTCATCAGTTTTCCCCTTACACTCTCTGTATTTACAACTGTTTCAACAGACACAGTTAACCACAGAGCTGTGCTGATTTACTGAAAACCAACATAATCTTATCCATTAGCAGAATAATTGTCTGGCTGGTCTTTCACTCCACACCTCTCGCCCAGCTTCCCATGGCTTAATGAGTCCCTTCAAGCAGGCTTTTCCCAATGGAAGTTCATATATTCTTCCATGTCTTATTTTAGATGCTTCCTCTTTCAGTAGGTATTAACCAAGCTATTTTTCTATCTACTAAGCTGAAATCACTTCACTCCTATTGAATAATACCTAATGCTACCTCCAACCATACAGAAACCAGTGACATTCCCTGAGGAAGATGCTACCCATGATAAGCAAAGTTTATCTGGACACAAAATGTGTCCTGATGACTTGCAAAACTCAAAAGGTTGGCAAGAGTAATGGGTTCTATAATCAGTGCCTGGAAGTGGTATTGTGCTACCTATGAATGTCTCGGTGGTAACAGCATATGGATTTGAAATTAGTAAAAGTTTGATTGAGATTTTCCTGACCTGATTTATTAAGGTTAGGTCTTCTTGCACTTTAAAACCTGCCATATTCATGACCACGTGATGCCATGAAGGCCATTGGCAGGGTGTGAACGAATGCATCCAAATACAAGAACTGCCTTCTGATCCACTGCAAAGCCTCACTGAGCACGTTTATACAGGTGAGAAGAACAAGCACTTCTAAGGACTGCTAAGAGAAGTTCCAGTGGGAGAAAAGCCATGCTTACCTGAACCTCGGTGTGGAGCTGTAGGAGGAGAAGAGGCGGCAGGTGACATTCTGTGCCTTAGGAACGTTGTTGGGGCCTGTCTGGCCCTGCCTCCCATCTTCAGGAGAACTCAGATGACCCTTTCTCCTTCTTGTCCATGAGGAATTGCCAATGAAGTCATCAAGGCGTTCCTAAAGAAAAAGAAAAGAAAAAATGTATTCTTCTGTAGAGCAGGACTGTAAGGGTTGTGCTTTGCTGCAATCCCACGCAGAAAAGTAAAATAGGAGTCTGGGTCAGGAGCTGATACTCTGCACAACTTCAGGCTCTGGGACAAGAAAGACCCCTTTGTTGCTGCAGGTTTTTTTTGAATTTTAAAAGCAACATGAACAGAGTTACCTAAATGAATAAGGACATAACATTTGTTTAGAAAATGAAGAATACAGCCAACCTTCTCCTCCTCTACCCAAAACAGTTCTCTCAGCCTTTATCCCATGGCTGTATCAGTTCTCCACTCAGTCCCTCTGAACCACCTTCTTTATTTGTAGCAAAACACTTCTTTGGGGCCAAATGCTGCCTCTGCTCTGGCTAAACTTCTTTTTCCCCCAAGTCAATCCAATATCTCAAGCATCAACAGTTCTCTCTGATGCTGTGGAAAGTCCAGACACTCCAAATTCCACCCCAGCTCTTCGGAGAGGATAACGTTTCCCTGCCCAGACCTAGCTGAAGAAAAAAACCCATCAACTTATTCAAATATTTGTTGCTAGACAGGAAAGGTCAGGCTCTGACCTCGCTTCCACAGGAGTAAGGTTGGAGTAACGACTGAAGTTCGGGCGCTGCACCCCTGTGTCTGCCGCCAGCGTGAAGTCACTCGGTGGGCATCTATCATCACAAGTGTAAAGGGAGAGCTTTGCATGCACAAAGCTCTGTAAAAAGGAAAGAAATGAGCCAGGCCTGATCCTGACGCTGCATCAGTATTCAGCGGTGCTTGCAGTGGGGCACTTCGGTCCTTACGCTGGAGTAAGGAAAATCAGGATTAGGCACCATCTGTCTCAAAGAGTCAACGAGCAGAATTGCTCTACATATTTGAATCCTCTTCCCCGTATCTTTAATCTCTTGCACACTCCAGGTTTTCCATTCAGCTCCGGTGACAAAAGATTTTTGCAAAATGACAGTCCAGATTGAGAGAACAGAAACGCCAACCTCTGACAAAAGAGATAGCAAACTTTTATCGGCGATAAGTGCTCCTCGCCTGCCGACATCGGTCTGCAGCGGTAAATATAAGGCAGATGTCGAATGGAAATTAAACATTGTGCTCTCAGGGTGGCCTCGGCCGCATTCAGAGCTTGATTTAAAACAAGGCCAGAGTTCTTTCATCATTTCTTCAAAAAGTTTCAGTTCTAAAGATATTCCAAACTGACACACACTTGACCTAGAACTTGGCAATGCAGGACAATGTGTGCATGTGAAAACATCAGTACCGGGGATGAAAGGCAAAGCAAGTTGTCTGCGAGATGGACCAAGAGAATTTCTTCATCAGATCACTTCTATCTCAGCGTTCTGAGGGTTAAGAGTGAATTCAGGTGAAATATCTTCTCCCTTCTCTTTCAAAGTAAATCCGCGGCGGTCGTTCATCATTTGGGAGGCGCAGGCAGCTCGGTGTGCTGAAGCACCACCAGAACAGCAGCACTGCACAGCAGCTTTAGGAGGATTTCTCGGCACGCTCCTTTACAACTCGAGCTGTTTTTACGCCCCTGAAAGCATTCTGCCTGTTATTATTAGGCATAGTAAAATTGTTTAGCACTTAAATAGCTAGACTTGAGAAACACAGATTTGAATGGCCCGAAGAATGTAATAAGAAACTCCTAAAAATGAAACCTGAACACTGCTGAGCATACTTTAGTTAGGAGAATAAGCATAAATTTAAGGTTCAAAAAGATGCTCATATTTATAAAATCAGCTAACAGCATAAACTAAATAGCATCCACTTCTCTCCTACTTTGTTAGATTTCCCAGACAATAAAATACAGACAGTGAAATAACGGGATGATTTACCATTGGAATATGGAAATAAGGTTGTACTCTTCTTGGAATCTGTATTTTTAGAAATCTTTTTTTTTTTTTTCCCCCTAAACAATTTCACATCAAACAGAGCAAAACAAGAAACTCCTGAGGCCATGACTTTGTCACCTCCCCAAAGTTTGGGTGGCTGCAGCAGCCGGCCTGCGCCCGCACGGCCATCAAACACAAACCCAAATGGCCATAACGTCCTGCCTGCATTTCTCCCCCCTGAAAGGACGAAATCGTGACCGGATTTTACTTTCAGATGACCTGACAAACCAGCACTCCCTGGCACGAGCAGGGCAGTCATTTCCCCTCCATTTCCCAGTACAAGATTTAATCAGCTGAAACACAAACCTCCTTCTGCACTGAGATCTTTTAGAACAAAACCACGCTGCAAAAAAGTCTCTCTGGCCTTTTTAAAAATCATTTTCAATTGCTTTAAAACACAAAATAGAGATGGATGGATGAATGGATGGACAGCCAGAGAAATGCTTTCAGTCATGCTTCCCCCCCAACCCTTAAAATTGAAAAGCATCGGTATCCAAATAGCAACAGGAAATTTTTACCTTGTGGCTAAAAAGCTCACTGTTCACTTTGCAGCTGCCTCTATTTTTTGCTGGGCAAAGCACCAACACAAAAGTCTGTCCTAAGAAACCAAGCTTTTGGCACAAGGGCAGCGACAAAACGCAAACCTACAAAGAATTCCCCCCCCCCCCTCCCCGTCCCATCGTTATAATTCCTAATTTTGTGGGATGCATTGCTGGGCTGTTTATCATAACAGTGTGCAATAAAAAGGACGAGTAACTCTTGCAATTTTCTCCCTACTCCTCCCCTTGACAGGGGCCACTGATAGGGAAAGAGGCTCGGAAAAGCAGAGCGGTGAAAGGCTAAGAAACAATAGGCAACCATGGCTTTGACAATGCAGCCCTGAACCCTTCTTGCTCCCGCTGTGACACTTGCATTCAAGAGCAAGGGCGGCTGCCATCATAAGAATGGACAATGGCATGAGGAATACAAGGGAGAGGGGGGATAAAAAAAAAAAAAAAAAAAAAAAAAAAAAAGGAAATCAGATGAATTCAGAGCTAAGATGGCAGAGCTCTCACCTTTTCCGCTTTTTTCGAGTAATCTGGATGGAGACGTCCCGCAGAGAAGAGATAAAAAGGGTGTGCTGAACTGTTGGATGGTTCTGAAGACTTCTGCATTTGCAAACGCATTTTAGAACTATTTGTAGGGGTATATATGCTGCATGCCATCTCTCTGTCTCTGTCTCTCTCTCTCTCTCTGTGTCTCTCTCTCTTCTGTTTTATGTCCTGCTATCTCCATCACACACCTCTAATAGTATGAAGACTTTCTGCCCATGTAAGTAAGTGAGAGTGTGTGTTCCTTAATGTTTGAATCAAGACACACGTCTGCATGCATTTCTAATCTAAGGAGCCTATAGCAGTTACTACAACTATCAATTAGTCAGCAATAGCTTGAGATCCCCATGTGTCTGGGTGAACAAAGGTGAGAAACACATGCAAATAGTACTACAGCACCTGGGTCACGTACAGTAACTTAGCTAGCAACAAATAATTGCATCTGTTTCTGCCTTTTCGATGCTTCTTGCTCATTGTTATGTAAAGTTACAGCTTATTAATGTGAATAGTAACACAATTAGACATGGCATTGTATATTTTCATTTGAACAACACAGTAAAAGGAAATTAAGCTTAACTAGATGGAAATAAATGGTGACTTAAAGGCTTTAAACGAAAAGATTCTCTGATCTGCGGCAGAGTGCTTCCATTTTTTGATCAATTGTTCTTGAGTTAAAGATGCAAATGAAGTAGATGTATTTGGACATTTCATATATATTAGATAAGAAACTGATTATTCCGGAGGAGACAGAGAGGACGCCTGATTTCCTGAAGTTAAGTCCATAAAAAGGGTGCACTCAATCTGTTACTATCTTTTTTAATTAAGCGACTGCTACTTTTAAGAACATTTAAAGGGTGTTTTCTCCGATGTTTTAGACGTAAGCCAAACAATTAAGAAGAAAGATACGGTACCTTTGACTCTCTCCTTCTTCTTAACCTCAAAAAAAAAAAGAAAAAAAAAAAAAAAGAAAAAAAAAAGAGGATATTACCCTTAAAAACGGTCAGAGGTAAAATGGACTTAAAAAAAAGAAAATTAGGAAAAATAAGAAAAAGAAAGGAAAAAAAAAAAAAAAACCTGAATGAAAGAGCAAAGCGATAAAATAGAGACGCTCCACGATCCAGCAGCACCCTGAGTGCAGCACGAGACGAGCAGAGCGCGGCTGCTATCCGTGAGCAGGCAGCATTTCAGAGGTGGCAATGGATTCTGTGGACAACGTTATTTACACAGATTTGATAAGAGCGACAACGGCTCCAACCCGTAATTTAATTTGCAGAAATTATATCCCGCGTGGCGAAGTGCGGGGAAGTCTGAGAATTAAGCAGTGTGAGAGGGATGGTTTGGTGCTGAGCTTCTCCCCACGTACAGCGTGCGGGCAGGGCTGCAGGGATGCACTGCCTGACCCTCTGCCGGGAGCTCGCTTCCTACTCCTACCAGCTTCCTTGGGAGGCTCATTAGTGACACCAAAGGAAAAGCGTTCTTCCCAGTGTTGGGCTCTGAGAACCTGCCAAGTTTATTTAGCTTTAGAAGCGACAAAAAGAATAATAATTAAAATAATAATAATAACAATTAAAAAATCTTCCGATTAAAACAACAGAAATACCTCCTTCGGGAAATCAATGCCCAGCTCCCTCACCTAGCAGACTGCTATGCGTACAGCAGGTGCTCGCGGAGAGGCAGCGCTGCAGGAAAACAACGCAGCGTCCCTGCAGAACACGGCTCTGAAGGCTCTGCGGGCGCAGCGCTGCCTGCCATGCGGCTCCGCGTCCCAACCGCGCCGCTGGGATGTGCGGCGCTATGGAGACGGCGCGCTATGGAGACGGCGCGTCCCACGGAGCGGTGCTGAGCTCCGGGTGAGAGTCACCAAAACTACCAAATAATCGCGCCCTTCGCTGAACAATGGGACCTTAAAATGTACGTGCAGGGGTATTACATGCAGAACAGGCAGGGGGAGGGGTGGGGGGGGGGTGGCGAGAACGTTTCCCATCGAGGCG